TTAGACATCTTCTTATCCTTCCAGAAAGATGCAATAAAAATAGATAAAAACAATAAAAATTAAGGGAAAGCAAGAAATTGAATCTAGCAGAGCCAGTTAGACAACTACTCATCCTTCCAAAAAGATGCAATAAAAATAGATAAAAACAATAAAAGTTATGGGGAAACAAGAAGTTGAATCTGGCAAAGCTAGTTAGACAACTTCTCATCCTTCCAAAAAGATGCAATAAAAATAGATAAAAACAATAAAAGTTATGGGGAAACAAGAAGTTGAATCTGGCAAAGCTAGTTAGACAACTTCTCATCCTTCCAAAAAGATGCAACAAAAATAGATAAAAACAATACAAAGTTTGGGGAAACAAGAAGTTGAATGTGGTAGGGCCGGTTAGACAACTTCTCATTCTTCCAAAATGATGCAATAAAAATAGATAAAAACAATAAAAGTTCTCGGGAAACAAGAAGTTGAATCTGGTAAAGCCAGTTAGACAGCTTCTCATCCTTCCAGAAAATGTAATATAAATAAATAAAAACAATAAAAGTTATGGGGAAACAAGAACTTGAATCTGGCAAAGCCGGTTAGACAACTTCTCATCCTTCCAGAAAGATGTAAAAAAAACAACTAAACGTTCTGATAAACAATAACATAAACACAGCAGAACAGAATCAAAATCACGTTTTACAACCATCAATAGACTTGGATCTCATCACAGAAGCATGTTCATATTCAAAATTCAAGATCATACAAAAACAAAAGACTCCATATTCAAGATTTAAGATCAGACAAAAGCAAAAGATTGCATATTCAAGGTTCAAGGTCATACAAAAACAAAAGGACTCCATATTCAAGATTTAAGATCAGACAAAAGCAAAAGATTGCATATTCAATATTCAAGATAATACAAAAATAAAAGACTCAAGATTAGCTCCCCTTACCTCTATTCCAGACTTAATCTCCTGCTTAGAAATTGTTCTCCGAAAACTTCCAGAATTTCCCCATTGCAACTAGAATTTCCTTAAACTATCCAAATTTCTCAATTTTTAGTGTAATTTCAGCCTTCCCCCTTGCTTGCTATTTATAGGCTAAGATTTGACACTATTTAATTTTTTTATTAAATAATATTTTATTAAAAAATTATATTTTGACTTCCATCACCACCGAAAGTGTCTTTCTCTTCATTACACTTTTGAAAGGTGTTTTGTCCCTTTGCAATCATTTAATTTTTTTTTACAAAACCTTCTAAAATTTTCAAAATTTTGAATTCCTTCTAAAATTACTATAATCCTTTATCCTAAATTTTTACATTTCTTATCAAAATTTTCTTATTAATTATATTTTCTACGTTTAAAATTATTACTACTAACAAAGAAAAATTGATACTATTTATTAAAATAAATAAATTTTCATGGACTTTACAATGAGCCAACCCGACTCACTACGGGTTCAACCCATGTCAGCCGGATTCTAAGTGAGCCGGGTTAAAAACTAAGACATATTGCTAAAAAATAAAATATTAAGACATATTGCTAAAAAATAAAAATTAAGCCCGAACAATTTCTTGCATCATGTCGACACTCTCGATCAATGAAGAAAGAAAACTCGTTTGAATTTCGAATTTGTTTTTAGATGATTCTCCAATATTCTTTATTCTCACTTAAAGTTATTTAAGATCCACTCAAAAAAATATTTATGTGGTCTTTTGCAGTGTACTTAGTACAATAACTACTTCTCTTTCTAATAAGTAGAATGTTGCTTTGTCATTTTATTGTAACAAACAAAAAGAATAACATGAACTACTTATTTAAAATTTTAAGAAAATGTATTTTTAATTGCCGGTAAACATAATGACATAAACGTCAAAAAACTGTAGATAATTTTAATATAATTTTGAATATATGTATGTAAACACGACCCTTTGAAAAGTTACTACAACACGATTAAGGCCTTTGTCTTTCAGTTATACTACAACGAAAATTATTAAAATTTTAAAAATACACAAATCAAGAAAATTAAAACAATTAATGTTATTACAAAGAGAGGAAACCAATACACAAACATTAAAAATTAAAAAATAATTATTACAAAAGGAGAAAAAAGCAGCATTTTTCTTTATAATCTTCTAACTCTGCCTATTGGGAAAAATATATTTTTTTATCTAAAATGTTTTTTTATTATTTTTTTCTTCTCTGTGTAGTATTATTGCTTTAATTTTCTTGATTTGTGTTTTTTTTTTCAATAATTATCTTTAATATTTTTTTGTGTTTGTATAATTGAAAGACAAAGGTCATAAAATGTAGGAACTTTAGGTTTATGTTTTCATACATATTCAAATTTATATTAAAATTATCTGGAGTTTTTTTAATGTTTATATCATTATGTTATCCAGCAATAAAAATAATTTTTCTTAAAATTTTAAATAAATTATTTATGTTATTATTTTTTGTTATAGTAAAATGATAAGTCGCATTTTGCTTACTATGAGGGAAGTAGCTATAGAAATTATACTGAAGGAAATGTAAAAGACAATATAAAGATTTTTGGAGTACATGTTAAACAACATTTACCGATAATTAATAATATTGGAGAATCATCCAAGAACAAATTCGAATTCTGATGAGTTCTATGACTTTGTAGATCGGTAGTGTCGGCTTAATGCAAAAAACTGTTCCAACATATTCTGATAATGGAAATAGACTCCCTATTAAAAAGTAATTTGTATTTTTTTTAGTAATATTTGGCATAAATTGTATGAGTTTTCTAACTATCTTTCATAATTTAACATTTTAAATCAGAAATTTTTCTTATTTTCTTCTTTTATAAGTACATATAAATAAATTTATCAAAACATACATATAGTTATATTAGAGAAAACTTTCACTATGATGATAATAACATTAATTTTTTTTAGATACTAACATAGTAATGAAGTAAAAGAATTCTATAAACATAATGTGAGATAAAAAGATTAATATAAATTTTTTTTCCTCTTATATAAATTTAGTTTTGACCTGAATTAATAGATTTAACATCAATACTGGTTTTTGTGTATCCGATCCAACGTATATAAATTTAAAAAATAAATTTAGAAAGTCTATTATAATTTTTTTTTAATTTTTAATTTGAATGTTTTATCAATATTTTATTACAAATATAATAAATTACAAAAAGGATTAAATTAAAAATTTATTATTTATTATAAAGAAATATGAAAGTATCTGATAATTTTTTTTATAATTAAAATAGATCACGAAATAAAATTTTAATTTTATATTTATAAGTATATAAAATTAATAAAACATTTAATAATTATATTCAACTTATAAATTGTAATACACAACAGTACAAAGTTTTTGAAAAAAAGAAATGATAGAGTAGTACAAGATGTTTACTCTTACATTATTTTCTTCATATAAAGTATGATAGATTGAGATAGTTTAGTCAACTTACGCTTATAAATTGTGAGAACAATTCACTTAACACAAAAGAAATTATATTTAATAGTACTATACATAAAAAATTGTTGGACCAACATAATAATACTAGTTAGCAAGATGGTCAAAGGAAAAGAAATTATGGCATATAGAAAAAGAGTTTTTCTCAGTACCCATCCATCATGTAGGATATTTTTTTATAAATAGTTAACAAACGGAAATGTCAAAGATATTAGTTAAAGAATTAAAAATAGTTATTTATGAGATTTCACATTAAAATCACTAACAATAATTTTCTTATTAAAATATTTCTATTTTGAATTTCTTAATCAAGGACGCATGTCATCTTTTGTTTTTTAAAATTAAAAAATAACTAAACGAAATAAGTTATTTTGAGGTAGTTGTTTAAAAATGATAATTTGGTTGAATTTAAATAAAAAGGTAGAAATACAATTACGTCAAAAGGGTTTTTTGTTTGATTTCTCTACCATCATATCATAGTTGGGACATTTGTTTCCGTTTCCGTTTATTTTCACCAGAATAAAAAAACCGTGCAGTTATGTAACTGTCTTCATGCTGTTGTCGAAGGACAAACCCATGGACAAAATACCCCTCTTGCTTCCTGATTTGACAAAATCAAAATAATTATGTCACAGGATTAGCTTAAGCTTATTTTAAGCTGAATTCATTTTCTTATGCTTGTCTGATTTTGCTCCAACTAACGACTTTGTTGTTATCCTAATCCCATATTATCTAATTTTTTTGTTCTTCCAAGTTTGATGTCACTGCTTATTTAGCTGTACGTGTTGTGTTGAATAATTTAAAAAGATAATATTTTTAATGAAATAATTTAGAATATATATTTGTGACGAGGTGGTGTAATATTTACTAGCGTATCTGGGTGGGGTTTTGACAGTGTCGGGAGTATTGTCTCTCACTGTGTCTTATGTTGGGGGGTGCGATTTGGCCTTTTGCTGGTAACTTATGAGAGAGAGGGAGAAGCAATAATGAAAGGTGACAGCAATACAAATTTCATTTATGAGGGAAAGTGGAGCAAGTTGTTGTTGTGTGTGTGTCCGAAAACTTTGTACATCTGAATTTGGTTGATATAAATCGTGTATGTGTATGTGTATGTGTATGTAAGTGTGATATTGACATTGACATTGAGTGCATGTGAAGTGGCAAGGAGGATAGAATGCCAATAAAAGCGCTACACTCACCTGTCCCTAAAAATACTCACTTCAATAGTCAAGTCTTCTAAAACGTACTCCTTTTATTCAACTTATATTATCCAGTACGGCAGTACTTTATCCCAAACCAACTTCCCTTTTTCTTTCAATTACTGCCCAAAACCTTCTTCCATTTATATTATTAGTCTTCAACATTCACACTCTTAATTATAATACCTCTTTACCTCTTTACCTCTTAACGTGCTTCATATGGTGCTACTAGTATTAGATAGAGAGAATCAAATGAATTGTGATGTTATAAGATCCCAAGTTAATTGGCGAAAATTATTTTATATTAAATTATAATACTTTATCATTACAACTGTCTCTGAAAACTCTATGATGCTCGAAGAGAATAGGGAAACCATTTTGATAAGCTGAAAAACATGGACGACATCATACTCAATTAAAAACAGATAAAAAACGCTAAAAAAATAACATTTTATGTCACAATGATACAGCCCCCAATCCCGAATTAAATCATCACCGCTCCAACCAGTCCTCCTCCCAACACGAGCATGACGTGACCATGCGAGCAAGTAGTTACGCCGGATGCACCACCTTTCGACACGTGTCACAACTGACACGTTGCATATTTCGTGAATTCTGGATCAGATTCCAGCGCTTCCATGGTTTCGGGCGCTAAAACCACTTCCAAATCGACGGTCCCTGTTCCGTCTCTTCCGGGAAACGCCGAGATCTTACCGTCGAATTTGTTCGCTCTTCCACTTCTCACCGCCAGAGGTCTCCCCCACCCGAAGTTGTTATCGTACATTGGAAACCTCGGAGAACTACCCATAGTGATGGATGCACCGTCAGGGTTCCCGAGAGGAAAGCACCTGGGTTTCTGCTCCCAATCGTCTATGAAGCGTCGCACCATGGCGTCGTCGTGCGCCTTCACGTTTGCGTTCAGCTGCTCCGCGCACCACCGTAGATCCCTCGATAACACGTCAGCGGCAGAAGCATACGTTGGAACGCTCTGAATCGCGTTCCCGAAGTAGTACGGTTCCAATTTTGGTTCCATTCGATGACGACAGTTAACTGCCATTCTGAACGTCGTAGTTTTGGAAGCAGGCAATTTCCTAGCGCGCGTAACCGCGCGCCACAGCAACGCGCACACTGATTGAAACGACGAAATCTCCACTGTTTCGGTAACCGTTTGCGGTTTCGAATTCGAATTCACCTTGAACCAGTTCTCCAGAATTGTGCCGGCCTTGCCGTTGTTCTCCTTCGCGTGATGAAACTGATCGTTGCTTTGCTTCCGCATCAACTCGACGGCCGTGCCGTTGTTCTCCGGCCATCGGCGGTTGTTCGTCATTGCCTTCAGCTTCTGAATCGCTTCGCGGCTGAAGCTGAAGATTCTCTCGCGCAGCGGCGCGTGAGAATCGAACGTGACCTGAGGACCGCCCTCGGGTAGGCGGAGGACGGCGTCAGAGATCAGAGCTGAGTCGCGGTGGAAGTCCGGTATATTGCGGAAGCTTTTACTCGATGCTCTGCAGAGATGGGCGAAGGTGTTGAAGAAGTTCCAGAAGGAGGTGCCGTCGGTGACGGCGTGATTGACGGCGCAGCCGATGAAGAGGCCGTCAGCGAGTTCGGTGACCTGAACGGCGAGAATCGGGGAGTAATGGCCGGTGTAGCTGACTTTTCTGTCGAAGGTGAAAAATTCCTTGAAGCATTCGTGGACGTCGAGTGGGGACAGTAGGTCGCAGACGCGGAGGGCGGCGGCATTGGCGTGTATGAAATCGACGCCGGCGTCGTTGCAAGCGATGTAAACGTAACCGTGGGAATCGGTGGTTAAACGGCCAGCTAGAGGTGGAAAGAGAGAAAGTGTGCGAGAGAGTGCGGATTTAAGAAGAGGAATTAGAGTGTGGAGTGGAATACTGGGTTGGGTAAAGAGACAACCCTTTTGGATATAGTGGCAGGACAACATGGGAAGGTCCGAAACGGAGAGTTTGAGGTTTCCCAGAGTTGAGGGTTGGTCTGGGAAGACAGTGCATTTGGAGAGCAAGGTAGGTGCAGAAGCAGAAGAAGGCATGTTGCTATGCAAATTGCAATTGGATAAAAGAGATTTTTGTCTTTTTCTCTCTATGGTGTGCGGAATTGGGGGTGAAGTGAGGAGTAGGGTGGGGATGGGAGAAGATGTTACAAGTGTACCTATATATAGCCACCAACAAAGTGTCTTGATGCATGCATTTTATTTTCTCGAAGCTGGACCCTCAGTCCTGTTTGCCTTCTTTTTTTTATTTTTTTATTTATTATTTATTATTTATTCATAATCACGATTCTGGTTGTTGTTAATCACTTATTCTTCGTCGCCTAGCCAAGCTTATTTTAACCTTTTCAACTTTTCAACCTACCTTTTCCCACTCATTGGTTAATCACGCGACCTCTCTTCAAATCTCTCCCAACAACAAATTACAGCTATCAAGAACAGTTAAGATAAGAATGTCATTCCCACACAAGGGTTTTTCGTATGAACAGTGGATTTTTCCTGACTTGCTTCCTCGCAGAAATTAATTTCCGTTGCACAGTCCAGTACTGGAAATTACTAGCCACTAGAGGTTGAAAAAATCAATTATAATTGGGCACAGTCGATTATTCATGTTTGAAAAATCAATCATCCCTCGGAACAACATTAATTATTGGAAGGGATACTATTAGACACTAATAATACAATCTATTCTCCTCTCTTACAGGGATGAATTTCTTTTATACAGATAATTCAATACACAAGTACTTCTGGAGTAACGTATAATGTTAAATATAACTGTTTAAAAATGAATGATTCAGATACAGTGGACAAAATAAAAATGAAGATCTTTTTTCCTGAAACTCTTTCTCCATCTCTCATTCACCCTCCCCTTATCTCTCTCTCTTAGACACAAAAAAAAAACAGTTTCTTACTCCTTTTTCCCATCTGTAAAACGTTTTATCTCTCCTCCAGATTGAAATATGATAGTAATTTTGACACTTGGAGGGTGGTGGCAGAGACACGTGGGAGTGTCTGGTGGTGGATATTATATTGAGGGAAGGTTGAATGAAGTTGATTACGTGAGAGTAGAGAAAAGAGAAAAATGTTTTGGTGAAGGTACTTGAGTTGGATATGTTAAGTGAAAAGCAAAACAAGTATCCAAAATCCAAGAAATAAAAGATGTGATGCAAATTTGGAGATTACTATGGATCTGGAAGATTTTTCTTAAAATCCAGGAGTATCGCACACCCTATGGTGGCTGGTCTGCCCTCAAGGACACAACGCAAATATATGCCGTGCAATACCTGATCTCATTTGTCTTCTTCCTTCTTTGCTTTTCATCGTTTCATTATATCACCTCAAAACAACTTTTTTTTTTTTTTATAAATGCACTTTCATATTGTACAAAATGTCTCGTTATTAAGAAAAGTATTTTCTTTCTTATTAATATGTAATACTAAATTTATATTTGTAAGAAAATCTTAAATGTGAAATTGGGTTAAGATACCTTCACACACAACTCAAACTCGTTCTAAAAATTAATAACTTCAAAATGAACACGTTCTAACCTTGAATATGATGTACTATGAGTTTACTCATAATTATAATTAAATTGAAAATATTTAAAACATAGGTTACTATTAATTAACTAAGTAGATTATATGACAAAAAATAACAATTACGTTTGTAAGATGAATTTCAATTTAAGTTTCATGTTTCTGTGCAGAGAACAAAAACCATACAATTGTTGTGCATTGTCTTAGTATGATCACTATTGGTTGCCAATGGATCCTACAATGAATCACAAATAGTTAGTCAATTAATTAAGTAAACATTTATATTGCAAAATTATATTTAGTAACACATGTGCATCAATGTATGACACAAAGTACATATTTTCTTTTGACACTATAATCACTCAAGTTCTCATATGCTGGGAAATCATATATGATGGAAAACAACATTGCACATAAATAAAAAGTTTCTTGAGAATATGAATCAAACATATTGAGGCTTTCTTTCCACATCATTTTCAAATCATCGATAAATGGATTTAGGTATAGATCAATGACATTTTCAAGTTGTCTAGGATCCGATATCATCATAAGCAACATCATATATTTTCTCTTCATTCACAAGAGAAGATAGATTGTAAGTTATCAACAAATTTGGCCATGGATTGTGTTTGTTGTTTAAGTTCTCATAAGGATTTATATCATTTGTAGCAACTCCAAGTCTTAAGTTTTTTGGCTCTGCACCAAACTCTGAAAATGTTTCATCAATCTTCTTTCATTACGGAGAATCCATTGAGTTACGAAGAAAATCATCACAATTTTTTCCATCAACGTGTCATTTAAGGTTATTCACATCTTCTTTAATGTCAAACAACCATTTTAGCCTATGTATTATAGGAAATTACCACTCCACTTTAGCAGGTGGACCATCTTTACTTCATCACCATTATTTTCATCAATCTTCTTTTTAAGCAGTAATAAACCACTTGTACATGCTTTTAGTGAAGCAAAAATGTGTCTATATAATACATAATCATTGGGGGCATGCGTGTCTTTTAGTATTTCAAAATTCATTGGACATAGAATTTTCTTTATCTTGTATTTATGGATAGGTAACATGTTATTTTTTGGAAACATCTTTTTCAACAAATCCAATAATTCTATGAAACTTTTATCGGTCCATCAATTCCTTACTTTTAAACTAAGCAATTTCAAAGTCCCTGATAGTCATGTACAGTTAGAGAATCCTAGGTACAACTCTTCCTATAGCTAAGACATAAGAGAATCATATAAAGCTCTTCCAAAAATTTCTTCACCAACATCACGTACCATGCCCTTTAAATGATCATTCATCAATTCGCACATAATCCATTTCTCGTGACATTTTAGGCTTGTGCAATATTTTTCCATGCAAAGTCCAAACTATATAACTTCTCACTATACTGAAGATTAATATAGATGATCATGCATTGTGTCCAAGTACTGACGTATTTGATTAGGATAATGAACGCAATGACAAAAATATGTCTCATTCATAAGGATTGTGTGTTCTTGAGCATATTGCAAGAACTGAGAAATTTGATTTTCATACTTTTCATTGACGCGACGTTTATTCATCTAACTTTGATTTATATTATGTTCGTAAACTCAAATTTTAACTCTCACAATATTAGGCCCTACCCATTTGAAAAAAAATAATTTTCATAATGTACTAATACATATATAAAGAAATATAACATTATAAATTTGATAAAATTTTGACAGCATTTAACATTGGTCTCCGAAGTATATAAAATGAAAGTGATCACTCATTACCACAAGTATGCATCCAAATAACAACACAAAAATGGTCTTAACTGAAATTTTATCAAAATTATATATAAATTTCAATATACCGAATTATAAAAATAATTTTTCAAAATTATCTGGAAAGACAATTTAAAATTTAATACAAACAATTCAAATTTTAATTTTTTTGTCAATGAATGTATCAAATGAAAAAATCCATGAAAATTATAATTTATCAATAGAATTAGGTTAAATACATTACCGATAAAACAAAGCATCAATCAAATATGTGATATAATACACTAATGAGGCAGTATAAACAGTATATCACACAACTATGCTATTAAGTAGAAGATGATTGTTTGAAGAGTGAGAAAAAAGTGATGTTGACCTCGAGTTTATCTTGTTATATTGGTAGCAAAAAAGATTAGTATCGTATTTCATACGTTTGGGAATTAATTTGTATAAGATTAAAATCCAATCTAAAAGTAGGAATTGATAAAAAAAATGTTAATAATAGTATTGAAGTGAAGGAGGAGCGCCGACTATTTGCTGTGATACCTCAAATCCCCAAAAGGTCGGCTCCTTAGAATCTCAACTGTTTAGCTAATCTTGAACTGTTTACATATCATGAATCCAATATTATTACGGCTACTTGAACATTATTTTATCCTCATTTCTATATTCAAACTTAGTCAAACCAACTCTACAACCGCCAATTTCTGATTTGTCGATTTGCGTAATATGATACTATTAATGATTAGTACATGGAGAAGATTGTGATTAGGAAATTCCCATAATTTTATATTGATTTATGATTATATATAAAAGAGAAGAGATTTATGAGTAGATAACTTAGCTCTGATAACCACATTATAGTTAATTGTTTGACTGCAGATAGTGTCGGAATATATAAATGTATGACTGGCAATGAAGAGGATTGGGATGTGTTGTGCCACTGTGGACAGTGGGGTTTGTGCTTTGTCCAAGTTCTGAGATCCTCTTGAACATTTTTTTCATTACAATGTATGTATGTTGGGATGGGCCACGTGGCTCACAGTTAAGGGCCAACCATGTAGGTTCTCTGGGTTCTATGTGTGACACTGAACTTGACAGTTGCCAGGTCTGTGACAGTGCGAACCCACCGTCAACAAACATTAACAATCTCCACGCTCAGTACGATGCTACTGTTTCTGTCTTCGACTCACTCCAATCCTTCTCAATCTTTCTTTTTATTCTTACCATTTTACCTCAATATTTAAATCATCTATCATCATATTAAAAACAGTTCTACTGTAATATATGTATGCAATATAATATCATCATAATATCAAAAGAAGTAATGGCTTTTCTTTTTATTATTAAAATAAATTTAAATTTAATGAATATAAACATTATTTTATAAATTAATTTTATAAAATTGAGTTAGATATAAAATTTATTTCTTAAAATAATATTAGAGTTATTAAAAATTTATTTTAACAAGATTTATTATTTATTAGATTTATTTTACTGTTATTATAAAATCATTTATTAATATTACGACAGAATGTTAGAGATCAAAATAAAATATTTTAGAGTATATAAATAAATATAAATTTTATTTTATAAACTTTGAATTAATTTTTCATCTAAACATGTACATTGAGAATAAATTAAACTATGAATTTAATATATATATATATATATATATATAT